AAAAAAAAAAAAAAAAAAATATGCATATATATATATGCACGGGAGAATATAACAACACACACACACGACAGGCATTTATTTTGTGGGTGGCTTACTCTCCACGTGTGCGTGTGCTTGTCGTTTCATATGTAATATTATTGAGTTATCATTCTTCTTCATTTGCCTCCTTTTTTGTTTTCCCCTCCCCCCGTTCAGGCGTTTATATATATAAAACACATAAAATTATATGTGGCTATTGGCACGGGCTAATAAAAATTTGTTGGGGGGGGTTATACTACTACTCTTCCTGTACCCACCAACGCTACACCTAGGGGCTGCTTCTACACTTCACTTGGTCATCATGAGGGCTTCCTACCTCACTGCAACTTTTCTACATACTTGGCCAACTGCAAATGGGTGCGTTAAGGGGAAAAAGGGAAGAGGTGTGGTGTGTGCATCGCGTGGTGGGGGGATAAAACAAATTTCACGACGCACGTTGTATGACGCGCAAAATAAAAAGATTTTTTTCAGAAGTAGAAATACATTCTCAAATTGGTTTCGAATCAGGTCTGTTTTTATCATCATTAAAAATCTTTATTGGTCTCGGTTGGTATGGCTTTTTTTTTTTTTTTTGCATGCTACTACAAAAATAGCCTTCCAAAGCACCGCGTGTATAACAAAACGAAGTCGCTCCTCCCGTTTTCAACACTACATAAAAAGTGTACTACTCACCTTTTCCTTGACGCGCTTCTTCCTGAGCTTGGCATTAAGCTTCTTGGGTTTGTCATGCTTAGCTACAAATTTCTTCACCTTATCCTTTTTCTTCTGAACCTTTTCGGGATTTTTTCTTATTTTTTCATGAGCACTCAGGTACATTTGTTCAATATTATTTGCATCGATTTTATTTTTTATGTATTCATTAAAATGCGTTTTGTATTTGTCCATGTCCTCTTCTTGTAACGTCTTCATGTACTCAGCCACGTGAATACCCAAGATGTTTTTTCTTAACTGTTCAGGATTAAATTCATTTTTTGATCCAGGGAACCTATTAGTGCCATGAGGAATATTCAATCCTCCATCACATGCACCTTTCAATGCAGCAAAGACTCGATTTCCTGTTGTCGTTCTTGTAATACCAACATCTAGGAATGCTTTAATCGGTTTTCTCTCTTCATCATCCTCCTTATCCTCATTATTTTCATTCATATCGTCTGTCAGTTTTTGCACCCCAAGAAATTGCGTGTCGAGATTGAGCGACTTCAAAAATCTTCTTGCACATAATAACCCTGTGGCGTAGGCAGCTGCGTAATTTTTTAATCCTACTGGAATTCCATATCGGACTAGCTCCTTTGATTTAGCCTCTGCCAATATTTTATCACCTTCAATGTGTGCACTGGCTATCTGGCATATGATTTGGCAGTTCGTCTTGCGCACCACAAAGCGAAGCTTCTGTGCGTTGTACTTGTTCTTATCCTGCAGGATCAGGGCCTTGCGCGCTCGGTAATCAGTCTTGCCCTCTACAAATGGGGGGGGAGGTGATAAAAAAAAAAAAAAAAAAAAAAAGGGGGGGGGGGGAAAAAAAAAAAAAAAAAAAAAAAAAGGGGCGGACACGTACATGTGATGCGGAGAAACGTACAATGGGATGTTTTGGGGTGGAAGGGCAAATCACCCCATGGGGGCGGTAAAAATGACAAATGGCCGCCTCGCCAAATAAATGCAAAAAGTTTGCCCCTCCTTAAGTCATGTGCCAAAGTCAGGTGAGTCAGCAACTTGTGGGAAAAATGCGTAACTCGTTTTATCAGTGGCATTTTTTTTTTTTTTTTTTCAATTTAGCCTCGAATAAAAATATCCCTCATAACTTTTGCTATTAAGAACGTATTCATTTATTTAAGGCATGGGCGTGCGTGGCCATATTATTGGCCATATTATTCACGGTCACTACATAACACTCTGTACCGCTCATACAAATGCATAATACAAAGCCACGCGGAGGCGCTTTTCTACAAAAAAAACTCCACGCGTTAACTACTGAACGTACCTCGTCGCCTCCTATACTTCACTTGGTACCTCTTAAAGTACGCCTTATTCTTAACAACCTTAACATATGCCATTTTGCTTTTTTTTTCCACAAGAAGATAATGTTCCTTCTCTGATGTGACAAAACCGTGTGAATCAGCTGCGTGAAACGATGGGTCAGCACGCAAGGAAGTGAAGAAAAAAAACAAGTAAAATAAAAAAAAAGCGGTTTTGCCTCAAGCGGGAAGCTTTAAAAAGAGGAAATAAGGTTTGTAAAAAATCCTGCATAAAAGCAGAAATGCACAGAAAAATGAAAAACGAAAAATATTAAAGTGAAAAAGGAAAAATGTTTTTTTTGTTCTTCTTTTTTGGAAAAAAATAAAAC